CTACGGGATGGGTACATTTATAAAGACTTACAAAGTTTACTGAGTGGGAAATATCTTAGTACTTTTTATTATTTCAACCTGTCCTGGCCTTTGCTATAATATTAGCAATTTCTCCAGCATGGGAAAGTCATTTATTCTTCACACTGCTTCACCTCTCCCATTTCACTTATTTCCTTTCCTCTGCACATCTGACATTTTTATTTTCTATTTTCTTGTTTAAGTATCAACTGACAAGACATGGCCTGAGAATGAGAAGGCAAGTTCAGAACAAGAGGTTTTTGAAAATGGAGAAGTCTGCTGGGTGAAATTTAAAAATCTCCTAAAAGTTGTGTCCCAGGATCCTGAGGTTAGAGAAGTTGCCGAACAGGATGTCGAATTTGATAATCAGTGGAAAATACCTATGAGGGAGAAGCTGAGAGAAGAGAAAGAAAGCTATGAGAAAGTGATCTTTAAGAAAGTAAAGAACCACAAGGTACTTAGCAAAAACTTAAATCCAAACTCAAAAGGTATACCATATAATAGAGCTCTTACAGCGCAGAAGCTCAGTGAATGTGCCAAATGTGGCAGAAACTTCCGTTGTCATTCCGACCTAATTGCCCATGAACGAATTCACTCCTGTGAGAAGCCCTATATGTGTGATGAATGTGGGAAAGCATTCAAGACCAAAAGTCAGCTTTCTGTACACCAGATACTCCACACGGGGGAGAAACCCTTTAACTGTACCCAGTGTGGGAAGGCCTTCAGTAGTAGATCAGCTCTTTGCCGACACAGAACCTCCCACAGTGGGGAGAGACCTCACAAGTGCCGTGACTGTGGGAAGGCCTTCAAGACCAGGACCCACCTCAGTGTGCACTGGGTCACACACACGGGGGAGAAGCCGTATGAATGTGGGGACTGTGGGAAGGCCTTCCAGTTTAAGCATTCCCTTACCCTCCATGGCAGGATCCACAGGGGGGAGAAGCCGTATGAATGTGAGGAATGCGGGAAGGCCTTCAGCGGGAGTTCAGACCTCACTAAGCATACAAGAATCCACACTGGGGAGCGACCTTATGAGTGCAGTGAGTGTGGGAGGGCCTTCAGCCGGAGCTCAGACCTAAGCAAACACAAAAGGATCCATGCTCAGGTGAAGCGCTATGGATGTCCTCAGTGTGGACAAGCCTTTAGCAGCAAGGTAGAGCTCAGCAAACATAGAAGGATCCACATGGAAGAGAAGCCTTACAAGTGTAAGGAGTGTGGGAAATCCTTCCGTCACAACTGTAAACGCAGGGCTCATGAACGAGAACACATGGGGGAGAAGCCGTATCCGTGTGGGGATTGTGGGAAAACTTTCCAAGATCGGCACTGCCTGACCATCCACCAAAGAACCCACACGGGAGAGAAACCTTACAGATGTTCAGAGTGTGGTCGCGCTTTCAGAGGGAAGTCAAACTTGACCAGTCATCAAAGAATCCACACTGGAGAGAAGCCCTACACGTGTGAGGTGTGTGGAAGGGCCTTCCATCATAGTTCAGTCCTGGGGCAGCACACGAGAACCCACACCGGTGAGAAGCCCTACACCTGCAGTGAGTGTGGCACATCTTTCCGGCAGTGCTCAGCTCTAACCGGACATAAGCGAGTTCACACTGGGGAGAAACCTTATGAATGTGAGCAGTGTGGGAAAGCCTTCAGAGTGAGCGCAAATCTTACTGGACATAAGAAAAGAAAACACAGAGTATGGGAAATGCACAAACTTGATAAGACTGGGAAATCCTTCTCTCCGGTAACTATTTCTCAGACCTTTTCATTAGACCTTTTCAATTTTTTGGCCACCAACACCTGAGAGTAATGATTCTGGTGTTTACACTGTCTCATTTCTCCTACTCCTTAGACTAGTTCCTCTTGTCTCCCGTATTGGCTCTTCCTGATCACCTGACCCCTAATTGTNTGCTGAACTGACTCCTGGTTTATTTCTCTTCTCTCAGCTCTGCTAACTCGATACCCTGCTTTTGCTGACAATGGAAGCCGAGGAAACCTGCCAGGAGCAACTATCACACCAATGAGCCAGGCCCAAGTGAGCCATCCTTCCTGAAAATAGGTCCTGCCTTCTAAGTATGGCCTTATTTTCACAGCATTTCCTCCAAAATCCAGGTGCTCCCTCTGAGGGACATTTTGTTGGTGACAAACCATTCATGGGTCATGCCTCTTTCATTATTTTTTGCTATTGAAAGCCTATGCTCCCTTTCACCTCATCCCCAAATATACACCAAATGGTGCCCACCTTTCACTTCTGTCAACCATCTCCCTACAAATTCCTTTCTTCTGCCTCTGTTTCCTGGGGGTACTATGGGGTTTTCTGCAGGACAGCAGGAACATACTGTTTCCGGAGCCACTGATGTTTGAGGATGTAGCTGTGAGCTTCAGTAATGGGGAGTGGCAGAGCTTGACCTACGCACAGAGGCACCTCTATAAAGATGTGATGTTGGAAAATTACGGGAACATGGCCTCACTTGGTACGGGCTCCCCCGACTTGGCTTAGTACTTTCCCCCTTCCTTTCTCTTTTAATTGCTTTTATTTATTGATTACTTGGAGTTTTATATTGAAAGTCAGAGCCCTCATTCTTTATCATCAGAACTTCCCCCCCAAAACCAGAGTTTTGATTTGCCTACATCTGGCTAACCGAGGTGCTGTCTTCCAATTCTTTGGAATGAGACTGCCTGGGTAAAAAGTCACTTAGCTCCTATTCTCCCTAGATTCTTCCTCCTTAAGCCTCTCATTTTCCAGTAAGTGCTCGGTTTTCAGCTCCTAGTTGTGAACTCATTCTTGATGACCCAGAACAGACACCTGCCTGCTACACACTCCTATCCTCCTAATGAGAACAGGGATGTGCAACCAAGTGACTGTTTCCCAGAATCTCCTTCTTTGCCCTTCTGAGTAAGACTTCTGAGAAACTCCCTTAACCCTTTTCTCTACCCAAATGGACATTTCCTTCCTGTTTCTGTGTGCAAACAGAGGGGTCCAGGCCAGTGTTAGGACAGTTCTGTGTGGCTCTATACACTGTCTTATTCCTTCTCTACAACCAGGATTCCCATTGCCTAAACCTCCTTTAATCTCCCAGCTGGAGCAAGGGGCAGAGCCCTGCACTGAGGACACACAGGACTGGGAGTTCCCAAGCTGCTCCTACCCAGGTGAGTGATAGAGAAGCTTTCAGTCCCCTCCTATGTTCCATGTGACAAAATGGTGATCAAATTTTCTCAGTGGTGGGGCATCCATCCTGAAAGGCCCAGAAGGAAATTCATTTAGGAAAGCTTAAGGAAGACAAAACAAACAACAAACTCTTTGGATAATTATTGTGTCACCATCTAATTGGATCTTTGCAACCTAATAGGCTTTTTGTAATTTGGTCCTCAAAAAAAAAACTCAGAGAATTCATGTCCCTTCTGTGTGTGAGTCACTCAAATGGTCAGAGAACATTGCTTTTCTGCCCCCATTTTTATTTTTTAGGACCTTTGCCATTTAGAGTCCTGGGCCTTTGACCCTTGTCTTTCTCTCGTCTCTCTAACTTCTAGAGAAGTTAGTTTTTCTCATGCCTTCAGCTCTTAGCTCTGATGTAGATACCCACCGCATTGATAACACTAACCTTTACCTCTTTCCTGGACAGCAGCAGTCTCATGTTTCTAATGCCTGGTTTTTATTTGGATATCCCATTGTCATCTGGAAAGTAACATACCTAAAGTCAAACTCATCTCTCCCCACAGGGCTGTCCCTTAACTAAGCTCTCCCTATTTCTATATCTGGTTCTACCGTTTTCTCACTTAGTCTTTCCATTCTCCCTGGCTGTCTTGACTAGTCAGTCATGAAAGATTACCAGTTCTTCTTTCAAAAACTGTTTGCTGTATTTTTCCTTCAGAAAAATTTGTCCTTTGTTTATAGGCCAACTCCAGCTATCCCATCACAATACCTACCCTTCCTCCCTCCCTCCCATCCAACAAACATTTACTGAGCAACTATTGTATAGCAGGCACTGTACAAGGTACTAGAGATATAAATAGAGTCAGATAAGAATGGGCTCTGCCCTTTTGAAGCTTATTTTCTAGATGGAAGGCAAGTAACTAAATAAGTGATTATATAGTACAGTATGCTGAGGGCTATAGACATATGCAGATAGTGATATATACTGGTATATACAAATATAGAAGAGAAGCATCTAAATATGACCTGGGGACCACAATACTACAGAAGGAATGACAACTAAATTAAGTCCTGTGGCATAAATGAGATGATTTAGGGGAAGGGCAGCCTAGGCAGAGGGAATAACATGTAAGAGAGTATTGAGGAGTAAAAGAATATGAACTGTGGGGTGGCTGGATAGCTCAGTTGGTAACAGCGGTTCGATTCCCACATGGGCCAGTAAGCTGCACCGTCTACAGGTAAGGTTGTGAACAACAGCTCAACCTAGAGCTAGGCTGCAGTGAGCAGCTGGCAGCTGCTTCAGTGGGAGTTGCCGTGAGCTGTCGTGAGCCATGAGCTACCTACCGGCCAGTGACCAACTGCCTCAGCCGGGTGGAGCGCAATGCTCATAATACCAATGTGGGCCAGTAAGCAGTGTCCTCCACAACTAGATTGAGAACAATGGCTTGACTCAGAGCGGGGAGAGAGGGGAAAGGGCGGGGGGATAATTCCAGTGTTTTATAAAAAAAAAGAATATGAACTGTGAATAGTTCGGTATGACCAGAACAAAGGACTTGGGGTAAGGTAACCGGTGGGGAAAGTATAGGAGCAGTAGAGAGAGGCAAGATCATGACTGAAGGAGTTTGGGTTTTTTTTATATAAACTACTGACCTTGAACATTATTATAATAATAGCTAAGACTGAAGTACTTACTTTAATGTTGCAAGTGCTTCATATACATTGACTCATTTAATTATCATGGTGGTCTTATTCCATTATAGATAAAGATACAGAGACACAGAGACAGTTTTGGCATCCTCCTAAGTTTGCACACTATTCAGTGTCAGAGCTAAGCTTTGAACCCAGACCGTCCTACTGCAGAACGGGGGCTCTTGAATGTGTGCTTTACTTCCTGTCTGCTGGTTAACTATGGAGTACCACTGAAGTATTTTACGCTAGAGAGTGACATGATTAGATTTGATTTTTAGAAAGAATAATATGGAACCAGCATAGAGGATGGATTTGAGGGAAGCCAGACTAAAGGACATTTGAGGGGGGTACTGAAGTTAGTGAGTGACAATGCACTGGCAGTGGAAATAAAGAGGAGGGATAGGGTTAAGAGATAATAAGAGCCTGATTTGGACTCTGGTTGCCAACTGCAGAAATTAACTCAAGTTGGCTTAAGCAAAAGAACAAGAATTTATTTCTTCAGGGTATGTCATGGAGCCTAAGGGCCAGTATACGTCAGGCTCCTGGAGGAACTGGAATGGCATCAGGCCCTGTGGAGCTGTCTTCTCTGCTGCTCAGTGGGTCTGCTTCATTATTCTTTTTTGGCAGATTGACCTTCTTTCCACCTCAGTCCAGTTGGCAGAACATTCACTCCCCCGTACAACATGCCACCCACCACCACTGATCTCAGATGGAAGTGCTGGAGATCTAGCTGTCTTTAGAACCCAGCCTAACCTGCTCTCACAACATGAGCCCAAATTCCAAGAAGAGAGAACCTGGCCTGGCTTTGGTCAGGTGTTACCCATATCTAATCTGCCCTAACCCAATGGCAGAGTTCCACTGCAGAAGTGTGGCTGTCCTGGGCCCACTCTGGGGAGTGAAGCAGACAGATCACTAAAAGGGGACCTTATGGCACTCCAGCACCCCCTTTGCAGCTCATNAAGAGACCAGACAGAGCTCTCACTCTCTCCCCAGTATGAGAACAAAGAGCGAAGTCAAGCCAGGAAGAGAGCTCATACCAGAACCCTGATCTCAGACTCCCAGCCCCCAGAACTGTAAGAAATAAATTTCTGTTGTTTAACCCACCCAGTCTGTAGTATTTTGTTATGGTGGCCTGAGTTGATTAATACAATTTCCTGTTATTATTTGAGCATCTGGCCTGTCCTCCAAGTTCATTTTTAAATTGAGGGCTGAAATTGACCCTTCAAATTCTGAAGCTAAAATAGAAACCTTAAGAATCACTATGGTGGTTTCCAGGGGCTGGGGAGAGGGGAAAATGGGGAGTTGTTGCTTAATGGGTATAGAGTTTCAGTTTTGCAAGATGAAAAAGCTCTGAAGCTCTAATACCCAACATTGTATTTTTAAGATTATTGAACTGTACACTTGAAAATGGTTAAGATAGTAAATTTTATGTTATGTGTTTTTTACCACAATTAAAACCATTTATTCATGTAGTGAACTTTAAAAAAAAAAAGGAACCTCTGAGTTGACAAAACCTTCAAAATTTGTGAAGAAGATATGGTAAAATCCAATTGGGATGTATCTGGAGGGTTTGGGGCTAAATAGGGGTGTGCTTTGTCAAAAATTATCCAGTGGTATGCTTAAGACCTGTACATTTTACTATATGTAAATTTTACTCCAAAAACAAGAATGTGAACAAATGTTGACACTAGTTAATAGTGAAGCATCTAGGGATGAAATGTGCTGATGTCTTCTCTTACTTTGGAAGACAACAAAAATAAAAAGGACTAACAGACAGAGACAGATAGTTAGGTGGGCAGATGTGATAAAGCAAATATTACAAAATGTTAATTGTGGAATGTAAATGGTTAGTGTATACCATGTTTCCTCAAAAATAAGACCTAACCAGAAAATAAGCCCTACCATGATTTTTCAGGATGCTCATAATATAAGCCCTACCCCAAACATAAGCCCCAGTTAAGATCATCGGCCAGACATGACTGCTTGAATAAATGTAGATTTTTGTACATGACTAAATGAATAAATGTAGATTGTTGGAGCAAAAATTAATATAAGACCCGGTCTTATTTTCGGGGAAACACAGTAGATGTGTACTGTACAGTTCTTTCAATTTTGCTGTATATTTTTAAATGCCCATAATAAAATGTTGATTGAAAAAAATAATTGGGATGTTTAAGTTTGTTGATGTTATAAGGAAAAGAACTGTTACGTAACATTATAGAGCAAAACATGTATCTTCTGTGAGCTCTGTGCCATCCAGGTGAGTTTGGAGCTTTCTGAGACNATATGTGGCTTTCAGATGATACAACATGACTTAAGGACAGAGTTTAGGATATGTCTGGAGAATTGGCAGTGTTTTCCCAGTCTTTTTTTAGTATGAGGCCCCTTAATTGATGGTCAAAAAATCTTCCCTTACACTCTCCCCATGCATATATACAATATGGTAGTTGTATTTTAATGCTTGATGACAAAATGTTGCGCTCTTCTAGTGAATCCGAGGTTTTGTTAGTCATAACAGCATGTATGTGCTTTTGGAAAAATATATATAGGAATATATGTGTGTGTGTGTGTGTGTGTGTGTTCAGGATGTTTATTTCACCCACAGGCTAAGGTATGCATTTGGATTTTGGACTTAAAGTCCTAAGCCCATCCTAAGACCCTTACAGTGCATCCCTTCATATCACTTCTTCAGTTTTTTAACAGAATCTGGCAAGGTTTCAATTCCAGTTCAAATTCTGGACAATCCTGGAGCATTGATGTTTTATGTTGTTTATTGAAGAGTCATTCTTCAGATACCAGTTAACTGGAGGGGTGAGCCTGGCATCCTGCTGTAAATGTTGCGAAGCCTCCATATTGAACCCAAATACAATATTTCCAGGTTGCATCATCAAAATGACACTTGTCTTTCTAAAATATTGGTATGATCCTGACACTTGCTTTCAAAACTTCCACTGACTCAATCCTGCAGAAACACCAAATTACTAGCTTGAATTCAAGGAATATTTTGATATTTCCTGAAAATTTAAAATGACATGATAAAGCACTGAAGAAATTTCAGGGTTTTTACCTGGGGGAAAAGTCTATACATTTAAAAGGGACCCTCAACTGACATAGACTCTGTCATAATTTCATAAGTTTGGTAGGCATAATATAGAAGGAATTCAAAGACCAGATGCATAGTTGAACTATAAAATACGTTAGTGTTTTTTGACACCCTAAGATTCTTGTAGTTCTAACTCTGAAGAGTTACTAAAGAGCTAATGGTTTACTTATAATTTACTTAGAAAAATCACTAGCTAAAACACATNTATAAGACCCGGTCTTATTTTCGGGGAAACACAGTAGATGTGTACTGTACAGTTCTTTCAATTTTGCTGTATATTTTTAAATGCCCATAATAAAATGTTGATTGAAAAAAATAATTGGGATGTT